AAATCAAGGAAAGCTGTAGACAAACAAAAACTTTAAAAAATATCTTCATATGCTGTTGAAATCATTCTGAGAACCATGAGCTGCTACAAATTTCATAACTTGGAAAATTGGGCATTCATCAGTCTCACAATTGAGACTTTCCTTTCATTTTTGCTTTGAACAGATTGGCCAATTTTTGAATTGATTTTTTTGCCAACAAGAAGCCTACTCTCCTCTTTGTGAGTGGGGTCCTGGGTGACCTGGGCCTCCCCCTTTGGCAGCCTTACAGAGGGGAGTTGGGCACAGCACAGACACATGGGCTTCCCTGCACATGCGGTTTGCACTCCCTGTAAAGCCCAGCTGTGGACCTCACAGTCCTGTAGTTAATGGATCCAAACTAAAGAAACCTTGCTTTCAGCTTCGCCTGTTAGTGCTAAAGAGGCGTCAGCTTTACCTGTTAGTGCTAAAGAGGGATACAGGCTGGATAAAAATAAAAAGTTTGCTCAATATTATTCTGTAATATTTAACAAGAAAATCAATTGAGGAGTTCATGGATTTTCATCCAAGCCAAAGTCATGATAATAGCTGAATTCCTTCCTTAATCTACCCTGATAGGACTCAAACACTGCTCTATGCCCAGAAGTACTTAGTACAGACTTATGTATAGTCTCTTTTGTATAATTCTACTACTCTGTTATCTTCAGGTCTAACGCCACAGTTTGCTGCATCTACTAACATTTTCCTTCAATAGTTTGTTTACTTAGGTGTTTCAGAAATTGTTATCAATATTTTTTGTCCTCCAGAGAACACATGCTCTGTGCCCAATGGAATCTCAGCCAAGGTGATGTTATCAGTAAGACTTATGAAATTGTAGAATCCCAGAACACTCAACAGGTTAAAGCTGTCACCTGCTGAGACCTGCAGAGAGGATGAGGTGCAGCAGAGATGCACTGGGATCAGGGCACAACCCACCCTTCACCTGTCCCTTTTCCTCTGAGGCAGTTGCTCCTCTGTCTACACCTGCCCCGACACCAAGGCTGCCTGGCCAACATTCTTCAACTGTAGATCTCATTAAAGATTAGAGGGACTTCCCGCCTCTTGCACAGCTGTAGATAGCCTGGCAATAACTGAAAACTGCTGCAACATCTGCATAATATTGGATCCAAGCCCTAATTTTTCTTAACCCTTTCCCTCCTAGGCTGCTCTCCCAGAATCCCCAGAGCCCTTCAGATCCCAGTGGACCACAGTGCCATCTTGTGGCCAATAAGTGAAGTTTCATCATTGTTTATTCTGCAGGGGCCCAAGGAATGCTGGGAAGTGTCTGCAGAGTGAGCTGGAAAAATATTCCAAAAGTGCCATTCCGCACGTTTTATGAGCGGCTTCCCTAAACCCTAATTCCAACATTAGTTCTAACCCTGACTATTGCTTTGAGTTACCAATCTTAATATCCCACCCTCATTCTGAATAACTCTTATTACATAGCTCCAGTTACAGTCTAACTTTTTCTCCCTTAAAACTACCATCTAAAGAAAGAGGAACAGAATGAGAGGAACGAAAGGAAGTAATATTTGGTTTTAAATGGTAAGAAAACACGTACACTGAAACACAAAGAGATTATTTAATCTGAATCACTAAACAAAAACGTCCTCCAAAAATGACAATGTTACCCCAACAGTATAGATCAGCAAAAGGTGAAGTCAAATGTCTATTAATAAAAAGTAAAATTGAAATATATAAAATGAGACCTCTTACAAGGCAACAAGCAATGGTGGCGGGAGCAGTACCTAATGCAGAAAATAAGGATGGATATAGCTAAGACTAGCAAAGGGGTTGTTTCAGGAAATGATCAGCTTGTACAATGCGCATCCACTGATCTGAGCAGCAAACAGGGAAGAGATGATTCTGGCCGAGGCAGAGGAGCAGCGGGAGATGAGAACACGCTGGTGCAAAATAGTGTCATAAGGAAGCAAATCAGCCTGGGGACTGTGGATTAGATGACTTTGCTTTCTCCTGTCTCCTGTGACAGCTGAACTGGGCCATTTTCCTCTCCAAGGATTTGTTCCTGCACCCTGAGTTAGATGCCCCTGGGATTTGCTCCTCCTCAGCTTCCCATGGATGAACTCCCTCTCCCTCCTTGTTCAGCACAGTCTGAAGGAGAGGTCATCTCTCCCTCCCCTTCAATCCCACAGAATTGGGGATTGGCACAGACTTCTCCATTGGCATCGATCTCTCTCATCGCATGCTCACATGCCTCCTAACTGTGCCTTTTCATTTCCACTAGACTGAAAGTTAGATGTGGGCAATGAAACATAACACCTTTATCATAGGATGCACAAGTGACTGCTTTCAAAATTCTTGCTGTTTTTTTCACTGCCTTGGGTTATAGCTGAACAGGAAAAAAAGGCACAATTTCTTAATGTGGCTTAACCACAAAAACCTTCCCAAGTGCCAAAAACAATAGAACTACCAAGGGATTGCACTCCTCATTGGTGAGATGGCAAAATAAAACAACAAAGAAAATTTTATCAAATACTTTAAAGGAGACCCAGAATTCCAGTCCCTCTTATACAAACATTATTGTATGGCCTCCCTCTAACTAAGAGACAGGTAGAGCCATTCCTGTGCGCTGCACCTGGCAGGAAAGCCCTGCTGGAGTCTGTGGGGAGCTGGCCAGGATGAACCTTGGTGACTCTGCCCCCAGAGCAGAGATTCTCAGGGAACTCTGGACAACTTCCAGGGACTCAGATGGAGAGTGGCCATACTCGGTCTTGGAGAGGAGAATACTTATATTGTGATCCTTCTGACCTCTCAGCCTAAAGTAAAACCAGAGTCATTCCTGACTGTTGTGGAGCTGCTTAGTTTCCAAAGCAAAAAAAAGTCTTTGTTTCAGGGTCTGTTGGTGACACAGAAGAATAGTGGGGCTATACGTGGTTCACAACCTAGAGTTGCTGCTTGGCCATCTCTGTTCCCAATGACTCCAGCATCTGAATATTCCATGTGAGGAAAGATAATTTGTAAATAATGAACTGGTTCAGGGATACCTTTAGGGACATTCAAGATGGTTATCATGTTCTAGATTCACATGCTTGTAGGAAAAACAGAGCTACAGAGCAAGAGAATTTGGGAGTTGAATAGAAATAGGAAAAATTGAGGAGCGCTTAGATGATGGCTTCTAAGAACAAGAGTAGAGGGGAGATAAATTCTGAGCCCTTTTGTCCCCACAAGACATGGCATAACAGGGACATCAGAAAATACTCCAGTGATGTGCTGCTAAACTGGGTGTCTGTGAAGGTGGGGGCATGGTTGGTAGCATTTCCTAATTTCTGTTGTACCAGCATCCCCACCATGGCAGATTTCAAGCAGCCAACATGGCTTCTCTGAATGGGGAGCTGGAAAGAGTATGCCTATTTACTGCTTCTGAGTCATACAAGTTGCCTCCAGCACATCCCTAGACTCAAGAGCAAGGCTTTCAAAGTTCTTCAATGCTTCCTACTCAACACACTGAAAATGAGGCCACAGCAACTATAGCACACCTCCTTATTTTCATGATAGGATCAGAGTGTGAGATCCTGGGTCTTGGAATGGACAAAGGGACGTTTGTGCAGAAAAGGGATTTCTGAGTCCTCTGAAGCTGCTGAGACCACAGAGCAAAGAGCTATGCTGGTTGGTTGGGGAGCCACTAGCCTTTGACTTGAAGTAATTGCAATGAAATGTTTCTCCTGCTTAACTTAACAGAATGATTTCATTAGAACAGAAACCCTATTCCTTCCTATTTGTTCATTAGTAACGTCTGCCGCTTGCTCCTCTTGCATGTTCATTCTCAGTATAAATTGGAAGCCCTGCTCACTTTTCTTACATGTTCTTGCAGCACCGTTTACAACTGTGGACTGTGTTCTCTTCAGCCTTAGTGTCAGAGCTTGTCCACTGTTAGGACCAGGTGTCTCAGGAGTCACATGGAGGAAAGTGACAACAGTTAGAGAGGAGGTCTAGGGAGACAAGGAATTCCCATCTGTTCCCTTGCCTTACTCAGTCCCAGGAGACACAGTGCACCCGAGCAAGGAGTGATTTGATGAGGACACAAGAAAAAGTGGGTCCAGAGCAACTCCCCGCCAGTAACCATCATTCTCTGAGGAAAGAAATTTGGTGTCTGTACCACCACAATTTCTGATCAGTGAGTTTGGAAGGACTATGATGCCCCTCTTTTTTTTTTTTTTTTTTTTTGAGACGGAGTCTCCCTCTGTCACCCAGGCTGGAGTGCAGTGGCGCGATCTCAGCTCACTGCAAGCTCCGCCTCCCAGATTCACGCCATTCTCCTTCCTCAGTCTCTCGAGTAGCTGGGACTACAGGCGCCTGCCACCACGCCCAACTAATTTTTGTATTTTTAATAGAGACAGGGTTTCACCGTGTTAGCCAGGTTGGTCTCAATCTCCTGACCTCGTGATCTGCCCGCCTTGGCCTCCCAAAGTGCTGGGATTACAGGCGTGGGCCAACACGCCCGGCTGATGCCCCTCTTAGCTATGAAAAATTCAGGGCACCTCTGTCATGGTTGTGTGTGAGACACTGAGTCCCAGACTTGGAGAAGTGGCCTGTTGCCGAGAACTCTCAGAAAACCATAATCCATAATCACATCAGCTCTGACCAGTGCGTTTGATTTCATAGGTACAAACTGCAGCATCACCCACAGAGAGATGGAAGATTCTATTGCAATATAATCATTGTACTTCTATTTATAACAAGTAATGTATAACACTATATATTATGAAAAATCAAAAGGAATAGTTTCAATATTAAAAATAAAACACTTCTTGAGTTAAAGTCCTCAGGAAAATTATTTCAAATCAAATGAGTTGGACAACAACGAAAACACTCAGAGTCTAAAAATCAGATTTCCTGAGGGAATCAAGGTGAACTGGCAGCAGTGGTGAATGCATACCTGTGTGTATCAGAACAGCAGCAATGGCAAATGGAAACAAAATAAAGGGTACATGTGGCTTAAATTAGGCAGAAGAAATGAAGTCTTATTGTTATCATGATTGTATTTATCACGTAAGGACCACAAAAGTTGCAAAGACCTTTACTTCAAACAGGAAGAGAGGTTTGATATTTTGTTGCAGAAAACCTCCAAGGTGACAGGGATAGAAGAGGCTTCAGAAGAAAGATGTTCCTGGTGATGTAGCCTCAGACCTTCCAGATGCCCCAACATATGCAGAAGAGGCATGTTTCCTGCCCTTGACAACCTCATGTATGTGGGCAGCACTGCAGCCTCCAAAACCTATAGAAGATGCATGTCTGCCCTGAAGGCCGAGGCTGAGACACCCACTCCTTGCTTGGAGAAGTGAGCTGGCTGCGAGGACTCCTAGAGCACAGTGGGCCCTGATTGTTTTCACCACCTACATTTGCAGTCACTGTGTTTCAGAAATGAATCTGTGGTCTCTTTCTACCCAAAGGACAGCCGAAGTCCAAATCCACCTCTTTCCCATGAAAAGTGAGGAGCAAAGACAGGCCTCTGTCAAGGGTCTCTGGGAACTGCAGGAGAGTGAAGGATGAGGTTTGTGAACAGGAAGGAGGTGACTGTGCCACGCTGTGGCTAAGCTGCTGGCACAGAGATACACGGCCGAGTCCTGCTGCTCTGTTCGCTGGATCGTCAGAGTGGAGAAGGATCCCTCAGGCCTCTCTGCAGAGAACCGATTATTGGGCAGCCCTGATTTGTCTGGTTGATCTTTATAATTGAAGTAAGTCAGAAACTCCGGGCCCTGCCCCAGGGCCTGTTGGTACCAATAGAGGGCTGCATGACCCGAAATTGGATCACACCTGAGAGCTACATCCTGTCCCTTCTTTATTACTTTGTACCTGGGAGACTGGGAGACTCCAGCACCTGTGTGATCTGTGGAAATAGAATTTGGCAACAGAATAAGGAAAACATTTGTAGTCATCACTCACACACAGACACACACACGCACACACGCACACACACACACTTACATACAGAAAAAAAAATGAAACTACTTTGTGTTCTGAGGACTCACCTGTCCCTAGGAAACCCAGGACCACCCAGCAGAGGAGCCTGGTGCCCATGGCAGGGTCAGGCCAGGACGGGGGGTTACCAGATCAGTGTCACTGTGAGCAGGAGCAGAGGATGACGGACGTCCTTGTCCCCACAGGGCAGTTCCCACAGTGACATCACTTCCTCTCTCAATCCCCAGGAACTCAGGGTCACAGCATTTATACTAGAACACACTTGGGTGACACTTTAAATATGTATAACCTCCGTTTTAACAATATCAATGTATGGCTCATCGTTTTGGGCTCCAGATCTGTCTGTACCCGGAGGCCTCACACTGCATCTCTGAGTTCATCTTCTCATCCTACAGCCACTCCTCTGTCTGCTGGGCATGTCCTGTAGGATGCACCAACACTGCCCCTAACATAGGGCACAAAGAGGTGAGCTCATTGTCTTTCCTGCAAAACAGGATCCCCTCTGCCATCCCCATTCATGCCCCAGACTCCTCCATTCCCCCAGTCACTGGTGCCCAATGGGACTGTCACATCACATGAGTTCCCTCATGAACTGCCCTCATGCCTTTCTTCTGGGATCACTTCCCACCTTTGTTAACTCTAACTCAGAAAAGATACCCATAGAAAATCATCTCAAGCGTAGAGTGACTTACTAATGCTCATCTATTCCATGCTCTGGACTGGGTAACTGGAAACTTCCATATGAAAAACACCAGGACCTAAAAAGTTCTAGCATCTAAGACTTGTTTTACCATTGTCCAATTTAAGACACTGATGGAAGAAAAGTACTCAGTTTACTGTTTAGGTCCAATTTATACAAATGAAATTAACATTCTTTACTCTGAAATCATGTGTTCTCCTTTGAGTAAGTTAAAAGGTCACACAAATCATGAATTAAACCTACCAGGCTAGACTGGGCCAAGAGAAGACAGAGCTTTTTTCTGGAAAGTCTGTTTCTGGGGTTAGTCAATGTGGTGCAGGAAGGAGGCTGGCATGCGAAGTATTTTTGCTTGTTGGAAGATGCTGGGATGTGTGATATCCTGGGGACTCAGCTGATCTGGGGGGAAGGGTGGTTAGGCGTGCAATATGAGGGACCAATTGTTGTCAGCAGGAGTGTCCTGGGAAATTGTCTTTCAACCATCTGAGACATGTTTTGGGCTCTTTGGCCCTCTCTGCTCTGTCTTGTTTGGGGGCCAGGTCTCTACATGGAGAGAAGGTATCTCTACCACACAGTATTCTCGCCATCTTCACAGAAATGCAGGGTAATTTCTGCAGATATGAAGATTCCACTTTGAGTTTGCTATCAAATCATTGAGCTGATCAGCTACAAATTCATGAAGCATATTTCTCATATTGCAGAGTTCAAAGAGAGACCAGAGCACTTGCTTTGCTTATAAAAGAACTGGGTCCAGGAAGGCAGCAAGAGGTGAGCTTCCCTTCAACTCCACAGGTCGCTGCACTCTGAGCAGGAGTCTGATGTCCCCGCAACTCCAGCAGGACGGAAGCTCAGGAAGGAAACAGAAGCAGGAGGCAGAGCACTGCCTCTGGGTGGAGTGAGATTCCAGGCACAGGATTAAAAGAACAGTTAGTAGCCAGTGTCTAGAACATCTGCATACAAGTTGTGTCCACAGTCACCTGGGCAGCACAGGTGTCCCCCGGAGTGGAGTCCACGGACCATGGCAGGTTGAGACAGTTGTTGATCTGGTGCCTAATCTGGGAGAATCCCTCCTGTGCTGGGTTGTATTAAGTCATTATGTAAAATTTGTATTTTACCAAATACAATTTGGTAAAATTTAGAAGATGGATATAAAACCGTCACTATAACAATTGGCAGGTCATTGTGGTCAGACAGTGAGAATCAGTGACCATCAGATACAGAGGCATCCAACAGACCTTGGAAGTCCTGTTTCTTCTGAACCCTGTGTCCAGTTCATCTTCTCAAATGCTGGCCAACAGCAGCCAGGCTGCCCCCAGTGTTTGGCAGTGCACCTGCAGGGGTGGCCCCCACACAGAGGGAACAGTTTCCCCAGAAGCAGGTTTCCTTGGCCTTTTCCTGTTCTCCCAGCTCAAAGTCCCACTGCATGGCCTGGCCTGCTCTGATCCTCTCATGTCCCTGCCACTCCAGCCTGTCCTGCCCAGACCTCCAGAAGCCCTGGCTACTGACTGGCTCCTTCACCTTCTGACTTCTCTCCTCAAGACCTTGTCTTCCTCAGCTCCTCCCATGTGCATAAAGTGTAATTCTGATCATAAATCTCTCACACTCTCAAACTTGTAGTGGCCCTGTTTTATTGATGCAAACCTAATGGAGATTTTCTTACCAGAAGTGGTTTCAAGGAACAACCTTTAAGAGTGGAATTCTAGAGGTAGATCTCTGATCTGTCTTGATTTGTTGTGGGGGAAGACCCTGAAGGAGGGCACAGAGACCTGCAGGAGGTCAGGTGCTGCAGCCACAAGAGGAAGCCTTGACCCAGGTGTGGTCGCCAGGATAGTGATTCCCCATCAATTTCCAAGACTGACCTGAGCCCAGCAATCAAAGGGGTGGGCTTTCTTTTACTTAATGCTAGATCTCTGCCAGGTTACAGTAGATGTAGCGTGTTCCTACTATTGGTTCATCCACCCACTCATCACCCACTCAGCCTGTCATTCACTCATCCATTCTCTGTGAAATGGGTCTCGCCACATGTCAGGCACCGATATTGGTAAATGCAGCAGGCACAGCCTTAGCTCTCATGGGCTAAAAAATTAAGCACAGAGACCGGTTGTGGTGGCTCACGCCTGTAATCCCAGCACTTTGAGAGACCGGGGATCATGAAGTCATGAGATCGAAACCATCCTGGCCAACATGGTGAAACACCATCTCTACTAAAAATACAAACAAGAATTAGCTGGGCGTGGTGGCGCATGCCTGTAATCCCAGCTATTTGGGAGGCTGAGGCAGGAGAATCACTTGAATCAGAGTATCAGAGTTTGCAGTGAGCAGAGATCGTGCCACTGCACTCCAGCCTGGCAACAGAGTGAGACTCTGTCTAAAAATAAAAAAATTGGGGGGAGCACAAAAATAATCAGACAAGTATCTGAGAAAGCCCAAGTGTGCCAAAGGTTACTAACACACTTGATTCTTTGAGAGCTTATGAGAGGAAAGTTGATCCGAGCTGGGAGGCATGGGATTGCTTCCCACAGGAGGGCTGATCATGCTGAGATCTGAAGCACAGGTAGGAGCTGGTCACTAGAGAAAGGAAAGCTCACCCGGCCGGGCGCGGTGGCTCAAGTCTGTAATCCCAGCACTTTGGGAGGCCGAGACGGGCGGATCACAAGGTCAGAAGATCGAGACCATCCTGGCTAACACGGTGAAACCCCATCTCTACTAAAACTACAAAAAAAACTAGCTGGGCGAGGTGGCGGGCGCCTGTAGTCCCAGCTACTCGGGAGGCTGAGGCAGGAGAATGGCATGAACCCGGGAGGCGGAACTTGCAGTGAGCTGAGATCCGGCCACTGCACTTCAGCCTGGGCGACAGAGCGAGACTCCGTCTCAAAAAAAACAAAACAAAACAAAACAAAAAACAGAGAAAGGAAAGCTCCAGCCCAGGGCAGAGAAAATGGCCTTTGAAGTCTCTGTGATGGGAAGGAAGGAGTCACAGAAGAGGGGTTCCCCTCATGGCTGCAGTAGAGAGGGGCAGGGAGGTAGGGGGTGGAAAATGACTGCTGAGATGGGAAAGGTGGGCCACAGGAGGGTGGGGAGTGGGGGAAACCCTAGAGAGAGGAAGCAACATGGTCACCAGGGAGAGACAGGAGTCTAGATGGATGTGAAATACAAATCCTGTTTCATCCTGGGGGCCTCAGACTCAGGATGATGAGTTGAAAAGTAGGAGCTGGGGGAGCCCTAGCCCAACCCCTAAAGGAGAGCTCGGAGGATAGACCAGAGAGAGCAAGAAAGGAGACATCTGAGGACCTGGGATCAGCCCAGGCCTGGCTGAGACTGCCTGCAGAGGCACCTGTCACAGAGCGAGGCTCATACTGTCTGGGCCAGTTAGGGCCACTTGGGGTTCCAAGGTTCCTGTTCCAGAAAACTCTGCCCAGGGCATCCCTGAGTCTTGGGTGGGGGAGGAGGGCAGAGCCTCCCTGCTTTCATGTGCGGAGAGGAGACAGCTTTGTAACGCTGTGGAGTAACTGCTGGCACAGAAGTACACAGATGTCTGGGAGAGAGCAGCCGACTCCAGCCTGAGCAGGAAATCCTCTGTGTTTCTTCTGGAGACATTGTAGCCATTGGGGACTTCTCCTTTGGTAGTGATACCAGCAGTAACTGAGTAATAAATCAGTCTCAGCCCCATGCCTGGGTCTTGTCGATACCAGAACATGTAGTCATGGTTCATATTCTGGGCACACTGCACTATCATGCTCTGTCCTGTCTTCAGGACCTGGAATTTTGGTGTCTGAGTGACACCAGCATTCACTGGACCTGCAGAGAAGAACAAAGCTGATGCTGCAGCCCCAATGGAAAGGGGCTGGGCCGTGAAATCCACACAACGGTCCCTGCCCAGGACCCACCTGTCCACAGGAGAGAAAAGGCCGCACAACACAGGAGCTCAATGCTCATGGCAGGTGCTACAGGACGGAGGGGTCTTCTGGTTCTGTGCATTGATGAAAGGGCAACAGGACTCTCAAGGGAATCATTCTGAGATGTCATTCTCCCTGCCTGGGCCCCAGAGCCTTCTTGTCAGGAGAGACCACGCCCATTCCCCAGATGGTCAAATTCAAGATAAATGCACCAGTGAACAGCTGAGAATGAGAAGGACACATTTGTCTGAATTGAATCAAGTCCACAAGATTTTCATGACTTTTTGTGAACAGTTTGTAATTCAATGTCAATTTTATTTCTTCAATAATATAATACATAGCCTGGTGTTAGTTACCTATGTAGTGCTGTAGTCTAGAGTCTTAGGGAAACTCCTCTTGTCTTCCTGGTGTTTTTGATTCCTGTGTCCCAAATATTCCTTCAAGTATCCTTTTCTAATTTGCTTAATTGACCATAATCCTGTTTAAAATCCTTTGTCTATATTGGTTTTCTCTGTTATCAAGTTTCCAAATCCTAGGGGCAGGCTCATCAACATTGGACAAGGTTTGCTCTGTGTCTTCTCAATTCACTGACAGATGGGACTCCTGACAAACCCAGGTGAGCACCTTCAGCTCTACCCAGGGCTCTTGCTTTCCATATCTGGGGTGAGACCACAGCAGACAGAGCCACCTCACGCTGCTGACTGCCATCTCTGTGTGGATGATGGTGACCACCCAGTGCTGCCCATGATCTGTGGGTACAAAGGTGGCCTGATGCATGAGGGACTTGGGGAGAGAGGTCTGACTTTAAGGTAAGGAAGAATGCTCTGTTTTTATGTGAGATGTCATCTTTCATAGGGAATATCCCTTTGTGCAGGGTTACTGCCATTAATTTAGTAATAAATAAATTTTAGTAATAAAAAAGAACTCTAATAACCTATCTCGTGATTCCTTCAGGGTTTCACAAGTTTTCCCTGGGGGTTCTCCTTGTCTATTTTCTGAGCTCATCTTCTTCTCCTAGACCCAGCCAACACCCTTCCTCCAGGTCCCTCTGTCTACTGAACCAAGCTGCAGGAATTGATTCCTTCTGGCTACCCTCATTTCCATGGTTGCTCAATTATGAGTGGGGTGGTTTGGGATGGCACAGGGCAAAACAACATCAAGGGCATTATTCTTCCTAGGGCTCTGATTCACTCTCAGAACTATATGCTTCATGGTAGAACCTCATGGTACTCATCACATGTGGATCAACAACCCCCTATCCTCACCTCTCAGCTTACCACCAAGTCAGAGACTCTTAGAGTAGAAAAGGCCTTAGAAATAATCTTATTTCCATTTCCAGGTGTGTTTTGTAAGGTGAACTTGTTACTAACACAGCAATTTGTCCTTAATTTCCAAAGAAATTACTCCCTCAGGTGTGCATCTGTGCTGAGACCTAAAAAATCCATTAGGAGAAGGGGGAGGGTTGCATCACAGTTTCACAGCTTAGAATTTGATATTACATGTCCTTTGTCTTGGACATCCTGCGGCCACTCTGCCGTGTTCCCAACTGACCCTCCCCACTGCCTGTGCTTCCTTCTCTGCTGATTCAAAGAAAGTAAGATCCTCCTAATTTTAGAATGCAGGAACATTTACCAATTTCTGCCCCGTAAGAGTCTCTCTTTGAACTCTGAGATATTTATTAAACAAACTCTGACTCTATTGGCCGTGCCATTTTTTGCTTCGCCAACAGTCTTCATAAGGTAAAGGTGAGGTACTGATGTTTACTTAACCTTGAAAATAAATTATCCCACCTTCCAACTACTTACAAAGCAAAACTGGCTAAAATCAGATGGGATTCTAGTTAATATTGTTTTCCTCTACATTTCACATATAGGAAGTGACCACTTAGTTGGTTCTCCTCCCTCCCTCATTTTAACAACAGCTCCTCACAGAGCTCCCTGGCCTAGTTTATCTACATCAGAGTCTCCGCTACATCTTGTGATGGGAATAGTTTTATCAAAGCTCAGATATTCTGGTTCCAGGCCACTAATTGCTTACCCACTCTAGTACCTCCCCACTGCCAACACCATGATGCATGTACCTGCAGTGCTATAGGGTACACAGAGTCTCTTAACCCTGGTGTCTGATCTAAAGACAACCCCAGATGGTTCTAGACTTCCCCACCCTCAAACTCCAGTGACACATCTATCAATTCCACATGGAAGCAAGACGACTGCCCTCCATCTGGCTCCACCATTTATTAGCTCTGAGACCATGGGCAAGGCTATTTGTTAACTTTCCTGGACTCTAGCCTCATCTAGAATCATCTATAAAACAAGACTAACATTCCTCTCAATGCTTTACACACATGAACTGAGATACTGTGTAGCATCTTGTAGGTTTGATAAAAGTCTATCCTTTTATCCCTTCCTGTCTCCTCATGCAGGAGAAACCAATGGAGCTCTCACACTGGCCCTGCTAGGACTATGAGTGATGGAAAAGCTGGAATCATCAGCTGAGTGCTGGGGTGAGGAGAACCTGGAAGCGTAAAGATGCCATTCGGTCACTTTAGAAAAGATGTGGCAGAATTTAGGAATCAGGCAACAGAGCACGAGTGTACCTGTCTACCCTCATTATGCAAAGTGAAGCAGCTAATAGAGCAAGTTAGATCTATATCAACCAACCTGGAACAATAAAGACCAAGGAATATTAACAGAAAACAGTGTGCATGTGGCCGGTAAATTGTACAGGTGAACCCATTTTCTGTAGGTGTACTTGAGTAGAAAGTTATGCATGAACACAGAAAAGAGGGGTGAAAGGAAGCAAACCAGAGTGTTAATATTCATTACCAATAGAAGGTGGGATTGGGTTCGAAAGCATTACTGACATTTTTGTTACATATATATTATTTAATTTGGTTATTAAAAAATCTTAACCACATGCAAGCTTTAAGTTTACACTTTTCATCAGGTGTCAGAATTTGTAGTGTCTAAATGGACAAAGTACAGAAAGCTTCTGTCTATGGAACTCCCTATAAAGGCCCATTTATTTTTTGTAATAAACTGAGGAAAAAGTGTGCTCCGTAAAAACACATGAGCTCCTGGTGAACACAGCCAGTCTCTGATTGCTGAGGAGGGTGAGCATCAGGGTCGATACATTTGATGGTGAAGTCAGTTTGTGCTGATTATGAACTAATAAGGCTTCTACCTCTGAAAGCCTGATCACCACAGGGAAATGGGGGATCTCACTCCTTGTTCTAGAATAGGTTTGAATAGCCCCCTGATTGGAAAAGAAAGAGAAATGAGAACCCTCTAGTGCCTGCATTTCCAAACTCAGTGAGAGCTTGTTTCCAGTTACACATTGTTCAAGCTTTAGAAATGCTCTTTGTTTCTGATCCAAGTAGCAGTATTATTACGATGTCGATTGTAATGATATTCCAGCATTTATCAACAGCACACAGCTTTCTCAAATACAGCTTTAGTGAGTGGGTGGAAGAAAATGCTTTCCTTAGGGAAGATTTTCTGACTTTGGTCTGTTTAAGATTCAATTATTAAAAATAGCTAGTCTATTTTTGGTCTTTAATGCCTAAAGAGTTAAAACTGCATTCCTCTTTAAAGCATTAATGTAAATCATTCTGGCAAAACTGGGGCTTCGGTCTATCTGTGAGCCATCCTTAGTGATTGTATATTGGATTATTTCCACCCAGAATGGCTCTCACAATTCTTCAGGGACTAACACATAGCCCCGCTCTGTAAATGGAGCCTCTGTCTCACAACCACCCTTTCCTGACTGGCAAAGGAGGGGAACAAGCAAAGGTCTCTGCTCAGCGCCCTGCACCAAAACCAGGTGTGGGCTGGAGGAAGCTGGTGACCATGAGCTCTGTGTCTCTGGCATTGCCCACCAATTCATGGAAATGGACACCCATAATATGGCTCAGTGTATCAGGCACCGTGGCCTCAAAGTCACCCAAAGAGATATTTGTGCCTTAAGAAAAGTCTCCCTAAGAGAATGGGGAAGCCATTTGTTTTCTTCTCCATCACCTTTTAATGCCAGTGTTTGACATTATGTTTCTGATCACTCTCTCAGAGTGCTTAGGTGCCCTGTGTCTGTGAGACTCCTAAATCCAGGAAGGTGCCCTGTGGGGTCTGTGAGACTCCCAAATCCAGGACACCTGTGAGGGAAGCAGATTGAAGAAGGAGACTAGGGAGGAGGGCGATGGGCAGATAGGAAATTCAGTCATGTAGAAAGGCTTTGGATCCAGTGACTCATCCATGACAGGGATTTCTCAAGTTTCCAGGACTCATTTGATCCTAGGAGATGAAGGGATAGAGGTTCCCATTTAATGTTTCCAGACATCTATGTGGGAACTCAGAGGGCCTTTCAATATCTGTTCTTTATTCTTTCAAGATTGGTCAGTGTACCTGAACCGTTGTTGTACTGATAATGTACTTGGGAACAAAACATCCACAATTTTTAAAATGATGCATTTTACAGTCTAGAATGCAAGAGAAGTGTCAATTAAATTGCCACACAAAGTCAGGAAAAATGACTATGGTGCTAAATCTAAGAATATTAATGCATATTATAAGCTGTGAGCATTTACAATAAGGAAGTGCAAGCCTAGAAAAACTGTTGAAAGAGTGTATCCCTAGAGATGGTGGTAGATAAACTGAGATTTGGAGAAAGAACAAAAAAGAAGAGACTTGTGTTGACACAGAGAATACAGCATGGAGTGGAAAGGCCTTAGGTGGGAGGAGTACGTGACGCATGAGGAATGGCCTGAACTGAGGCAGCTGTGGTTGACATGGAGGTGAGGGTGCAGAGGAAGGGAGAGGACAGCTGGGAGCAGACATCATGTGGAGGAGGCTGAGGACTGACATGAGCATGGTGTGGGGAAGATGGTTGTGGAAGGCTGACAGGGAAAGAACATAGACCTGTATTGTCAATGCTGTCTGCAAATATACAATTTCAAAGGAACTTTCCCTTCTGAGAGCAACTGAGGAAGAGGACTTCTGAGGCCAGAGCCGTAGGAGGGGCCTGGAAGAGAGACTGCCTCCTCTCACACCACAGTGATGTGCGTCCTGTAGTCCAGCTGAGACTGGCTTGGGAGAGAAGTTCAGCACTGAGCAGTTTCCTATACACAGGACTGCTCAGAAATCTGAAGGCCCCAGCCCCAGGCATTGGGAAACTCCTATGGGGACAACGTCTTTCATGAGACTGTCTCATGAAGACCAGGCTACTCCAGTGTCTTCCACTGAAACTTTGTGTGCAGAGGAAGGTGGCTGTGGGGTGAAGGCTGGTGCAAGAGGGCACAGAGGTCTGGGAGAGGTTTGACACAAAGGCCGGGCATATTTGGCTTTGAGAGAAAGTTACAGACCCTCAGGGATTTCTCTGTAGTGCGGGCTGGGACGGATCAGCTGTACACCAGCTTCGGGCTCCTATTAACCTCTACACATGTAGCTTCTTGGATGGCAGTCTCAGGCATCTCAGCCACTTCATGTCCTGTGTTTGTTCTCTGGTACCTTGGGAACTGGTCGGCCCCAGCTTCTGTGAAGCTTGATAGAAGGAAGTTGAATGTCCAAGGAGGGACCCAATAATGTAGACCTGAAGTAAAGGCTTAGGCTAGGTGTGGTGGGCTTAGAACAGTCTTTGTGTTGACTCACCTGCCCCCAAGAGGCAAAAGGCCACACCACTGAGGAGTCTGGTGGCCATGGCAGGGTCAGGGAAAATGAGGAAATTGTGGAGAGTGGTTTTCAGCTTGTGCTTGTCGACATAATTCGTGGATGTCAGGAGAGTCAATTGATGATGCCGCTGCCCCTGCCAGCCAGTGACTCTGCCTCTGGCCTGCTATTCCTCCCTCTACCTGCTGCAATCTTCAACCTACAGTACAGCCATAAACCTTCACCCATGTGGTCCCTGCTCCTGGCTGTCTTTCTTCTACAAGACAACAGACTGACAAGGTTCATGCTCATTTGCCTCCACTCTCTCCACCGTCAGCTCAGGGTGTCCAATTTAGACAGGCTATTGTTTCTTCACAGAACATATGTGCTTCCCTCCCATTTCTTCTAGGTCTCTCATCTTGTTTCTCACATGAGATATATTTGGTGTATATTTACTTATGGTGAAAATCCAAACTTAAATTTTAGTAGCATAAATTGAGAAAAATATCCTTAGATGTTTATATGAGAAAGCGGTTTTTGTCTATACAAAAACAAAATTGTTTTTAGTTTTTGTTGCATTAAACTCTTGTGCATCAAAAACTCAAAAATGAAAAAATATGTTGCAGACTGGGAAAGACAAAGGAATGCATGTAAATGATTGTTAAAAAGTGTGAAATTTAACATTCTCAAAGTTACAATGAAGAGGCCTTAGAAAGTGGACTCCCGAAGACATCTGAGACTCTACTGCCGCCCTGCTGGTCACCAGAGGACAAAGAGGGCTCTGACTTACTGACCAGATGCAGAAGGTGATGATGGAACAGGGGGTAGGTGGAAAAATGTATGGACTAGTTTGTTTCCTACTTCTGGTCCTTACAAACCAGGAGACACTGGCGAAAAATGACTCTCAATGTCCCTAAGCCTCCCATCTGTAAAGAAAGAATAAGAATGTTTGATGTGCAAGACTGTTGAAAGGTATTAAGCAGTGTAACAAATACAAAGAATCAAGCACACATCTGGGACTCTGCAGTCACTCTTGTTATGAAGTTACTCAGGAAGTGACAAGCTGCAAGAAGATGGTAGAGAAGCGGCACAATGGAGGGCATAGAAACCAAAGCTCTGTTGGTTGGGAGAGCTCTGCACTCAGTAGGACAGAAGACGTGCCTTCCAAACAACTAAAAGCTTCCCTTGAAGGAGTGAAACCTGGGTGGGGCCTGCAGCTCTCAAATCAAAGCTAAGGCAGGAAGTTTATATACAGAATGTCAGTGACTCTACCAGGCTGTGCCAAGCTGCTGGCACAGAGGTACAGGCCGTATCCCCAGCAACAAGGCGCTCACATCTCAGCTCAGAGCCATAGTTAGGAATTGGTGACCTGAGAATCGATCATGCTGCCTCTTCCTCTTCCTTCTCATACTGAAAGATAAATCTGGGGCTCCCTGACCCAGAAATGGTTGGTACCAGTATTACACTGCTGTGCCCAGATATAGAGAGCATCTCGTGAGTCACTTTGCTGTCTCCTCTCATTTTGATCAGGTGTGTGGGACTTTGGGTGACTCCAGTGTCCACTGGGCCTGTGGGAAAAGGAGATGGAGGGATGAGCCAGGAGACAGCCTGGAGGCCTCCTCGAGGTAGAAGGAGGACACAGGGTGGGAAAGCTGAGAATGGGGCTGCTGTCCAGTGCACAGGACTCACCTGCTCCCAGGAGACAGAGCAGCACCCAGCAGAGGAGCCTGGGGCCCATGGCACAGTGGGGCAGGCAGCACTGCACCCTGACGCAGGCTTCAGTCCTCCTGGGGAAGAGCTGGAGCGAAGTTCTGGTCCTTGATTTTCCTGATGGGAGGGATATCCTGTGATGTCACTGTCCTGTGTCCTCCCAGTGCAGCCTTCCTTAGGTCTAGTGCCTCACAGACGCTGTGCTCTCTACCTGTCCTGCAGAGCTGGAGGGATGGGTGAAGCGCAGAAGCTTCTACATGATACAGTTGCTCCTCCGCCCACACTGCCCCAGCTCACAGGTTGCCCAATCTGCTCTGTCACCGGGCCCTCTGACCTAGTGCTGTGGTGTGCTCCCATGCTGAGCTCACACAGCTGCCCATCAGTGGAGGGTGAGGAGCCTGTGATTAAACCTCAGGTTCCAGCTCTTCCTGGCTGTCCTCACAACATCTTTCTGATGCTAGATTCACACCAATGTTTCTTATTATATTTTCCCTGTCCCAGACAACATTCCCAGCCCCCTTTCACAAGTGACCAGTGGTTCAGAGTCCCCAAGATTTAGTCTGTCTGATCAGATCCAAAGCAGACTCAGAAGATTCTGTAAATTATTTAAGAGTACAGATTCTCAGAAATAATTTTAGACTTTAACAGTCACAGCACAGAGTTTGGCATGTGGGGACAGACAGCAGAGGAGTGTAGGGTCACCATCTGTGCTGGTTTGCAAAATCTATTCCCATGGCTCCCTTCCTGCTGGGTTAAATTTCTGGTGGTTAAAAAGTAGTCCACAGTAGCCTGAATGCTTTGCCACTTAGATATTTCTTTCAGCAGATACACTAGCAAATAGCTCATAATTTTTATATTCCATAAAGTTCTAGAACAGGACACAGCTTTGCCAAGGTTTTTACATTTATAACAAGGATGGTATTTGCTTCAATTTCCAATACCTGTTCCTCATTTACCCTGAGCCTTCACTCAGAAGTGCTCCCTTTATGCTCTGTTTTCAGGAATCTTGGCTTTTGCTAGTCCGTTCTCCCAGTTCTTTCAACCTCTATCCATTAGCCACTTCCCATTAACCAAAGCTGCTTTGCAGCATTTTCAGAAATTATATATCAACGGCATCACCGGCACCATTTTCTTTCAATTTCTTTCCTACTGCTATAGAGAAACACCATGGACTGGGCAATTTACCAAGACAAGAGGTTTATTTGGCTTATAGATCTGGGAGACTGGGAAGTCCAAGATCAAAGGGCCATAACTGGGATGAGGGCCTCTGCTGTTATCCAAGGCAGAAGGAAGAGAAAGCAAGCACCGTAATCAGAGAAAACGGCTGAATTCATCCTTTTGTCAGAAAAACCATTCCCAAGACCACTAATTCACTCCTCACAATAAGGGCATTGGATCTCTCTGAGGGCAGATCCCTTCCCTGACTCTAAATATAGTTGGTTTGGCAGAATCCCAAATACCATTACACTGACAAGGTTCAACATGAGCTTTTGTGAGGACACACAAGCATACAAAGTACACACATCTGTACACTAAGAGCCATTATTTCAATTTTAAGTCTATATATTAAAAAAAAAAAAAAAAAGAAAAAAAAGAATGCATATGCCCACAGGAAAGAATCCCATGATATGTTCACAACAACTTCATTCCTAATAGTTGAAGACAGGAGTAACATGGATTCCACTGCAGGAGCATGGATAAACAAGTTGTGGTACATTTATGCAATGGAATATTAGT